GTATCTGAAGAATAAATGCCTGAAGGCCTTAGATCTACTGAAAGTCGTATCAAATTCTAAGTGGGGAGGGGATCAGACAACCCTCCTCCACTTATATAGATCTCTTATTCGCTCCAAATTAGATTATGGCTCGATTGTATATGGTGGAGCCTGTAAGAGTAATCTCGAAAAATTAGATACAGTCCACCATCAAGGCCTGAGACTCTGTCTTGGCGCCTTCAGGACGTCTCCTATTGATAGCCTTTATGTCGAAGCTGATGAGCCTTCTCTTCACCAGCGACGTATTAAATTGTCTCTTCAGTATATTGCAAAACTACGTTCAAATCTATCAAATCCTGCTTATGATACAGTTTTTCATCCACAATATGAAGAACTGTTTCAGAAGAAACCCAAACATATTCCACCTCTTGGGATTCGGATGAAATCCCATATTACTGCTGCCAGGATAGAACTTGATATCGTATCTCCACACAGACTTTTATCATCTCCTCCATGGCAATTGGTTCGACCGACAGTGGATCTAACGCTTGCTAATAACAAAAAATCAGAAACTAATGACTTACACTATCAACAGGATTACATTCAGTTGAGGAGCCATTATGATTCTCACCGTTCTATTTTCACTGACGGATCCAAGGACGGTGGCAATGTTTCTAGTGCCACTGTCATTGGATCTAAAACTATCTCTTCCCGATTACCCGACAATAGCTCTATATTCACAGCCGAATCTAAGGCAATACTCACAGCTTTGGAATACATTCAACAGCAGTTCATACACAAACAATTTATAATATTTTCTGATTCACTGTCTTGTCTTCAGGCGATTAAAAACATGTCTTCGGGTCATCCATTTATCTTGGATATATTAGAAATGTACAATGACCTTGCCACTGGCCAATACGACATTGTCTTCTGTTGGTTGCCCAGCCATGTCGGCATTGTGGGTAACACAATGGCTGATGCTGCAGCAAAGGCAGCACTCAACAAATCTGTGACCCCACTTCTTATTCCATACAGTGATATTAAACCTGTTATTAGATGTTACATCAGGGACCTTATGCAAAAGAAGTGGGACACCCAAGTGGGTGTCAATAAGCTACATGCCATAAAACAAACCATCGGTTACACTTACTTGGGTTGTCAGTCCAGATTTGAAGAGGTCATTCTGCGACGATGTCGTATTGGCCATTCTCGTTATACACACGAATATTTGTTAAAAGCTGAAGATCCTCCATTCTGTATCCCTTGTGATGAGAGAATCACCGTCAAGCATGTTTTGCTTGATTGTGTCGATTTCTCTCTCACAAGGGATAAATATTATCATTCATCTTCATTGAAGGATCTTTTTAATAATGTCAGTACTCATTTAATTCTTGAATTTTTAAGAGAAATAGAACTACTAGATAAATTTTGATAGATGATATACATTTTAAATAAGTTAAATATTAACATCAACTGAGATAGTTGATGGTGGTGCTACTCGGGTGGTTAAAGTAGCGTCAAAATATTGTCCTCCTGCTAGTGCCACGTAAATCCATTCTCGATCAAGGTAAGTAATATTGACTTGCGTTTTAGAACTTTGATTGTATTGTCAATTTGTTTTGTGTTATTTAATATTGGCTAGCATACGGTACACCCACTGGTAACCAAAGTGATGGCATAAATCCTGCTGGGGAGTCATGCAGGAAGCATAGGTACTGTAAGTCCCCATGATCTCCAGTAAGGTGGTCTAACTTTGGTTATTGGTGGTCTATAGCCTTGTTTTAATTGATAGGACTTAATCTCTTATTACTATATGTTTTTAAAGGAAATTATGATCTAGTTTGTTTTATTAAAAAACTGTGATATAACTTACTATTTTACTGTCCTTTGTTGGCAGATATTTTAGATTAAATACCTAGTTCACATCGCTATATGGCTGGAATATTGCCGATGCGATGTAAAATTTAACTCACTCACTCCTTATACCACGTCGCTATATAAGTGCAATAATCTTGGACGCGACGTTAAACCCAATTTCACCTCACCTCACCTTCCTTATACCCTCTTGTTTAACAAAGTTCTATACATGTAACACGCTGAACTAGGGCGAGACATCTATATTTATCCTAATGTTTGTGACACAATGGGGAAGGAATGTACAGCTCGACCAGCGCTGTTTATTGATAGGCGCCTTCCCATGCGAGGGGGCAGAGCTGGAGGCTCCGACAAAAGCGCTCACCGTGTCACACCGCACAATTCCCAAATAGGTTGGCGGGTTGGTTGGTTTGTTTTACGCCGCACCCAGCAATATTTAAGCTATATGACGGCGGTCTGTAAATAATCGAGTCTGGAACAGACAATCCAGTGACATCATGAGCATCGATCCACGCAATTGGGATCGATGACATGCATCAACCAAGTCAGCGAGCCTGACCACCCGATCCCGTCAGTCGCCTCTTTCGACAAGCATAGTGGCCTTTTACGGCAAGCATGGGTTTCTGAAGACCTATTCTACCCCGGATCTCCACGGATCTTCCAAATAAGTTAACTATGCCATCACAAGGGTAAAAGGCCAATAGTAATTAGGAGATAAATTTGCGTGTTCAATGTTCAGCAAAATCGAGGTTCGAAACCTCAAATTAAAAAAAATATATTTTGTCGCCTCTGAATAAATAATTTCTTTCGCCGTAATGCGATCATATATAATCATGGTGTTATGTTGATGCGATACGCTTGTGGGTCAGTCATAATGCAGGATTCTGAACGATTCTGTGTATTTGTTTGTGCTCTAGAACAATGAGGTACTTGACGGTACTTTCTGTTTTACATTGCTTGATCTCACCCAAGCGATATCTTATGTGGGAGTCAGTTTTGGATGATAAATACAGTTGAACCCCAGATAGTGAATCCCGACTTACAACTGCAGGTGAGGGTAGGTAGTTTAACCCAGATAGTGAATCACGACTTACAGCTGCAGGTGAGGGTAGGTAGTTAAGCCCAGATAGTGAATCACGACTTACAGCTGCAGGTGAGGGTAGGTAGTTAACCCCAGATAGTGAATCACGACTTACAACTGCAGGTGAGGGTAGGTAGTTTAACCCAGATAGTGTACCACGACTTACAGCTGCAGGTGAGGTAGGTAGTTAATCCCAGATAGTGAATCACGACTTACAGCTGCAGGTGAGGGTAGGTAGTTTAACCCAGATAGTGTACCACGACTTACAGCTGCAGGTGAGGGTAGGTAGTTAATCCCAGATAGTGAATCACGACTTACAGCTGCAGGTGAGGGTAGGTAGTTTAACCCAGATAGTGTACCACGACTTACAGCTGCAGGTGAGGGTAGGTAATTAATCCCAGATAGTGTACCACGACTTACAGCTGCAGGTGAGGGTAGGTAGTTAATCCCAGATAGTGTACCACGACTTACAGCTGCAGGTGAGGGTAGGTAGTTTAACCCAGATAGTGTACCACGACTTACAGCTGCAGGTGAGGGTAGGTAGTTAATCCCACATAGTGAATCACGACTTACAGCTGCAGGTGAGGGTAGGTAGTTTAACCCAGATAGTGTACCACGACTTACAACTGCAGGTGAGGGTAGGTAATTTAACCCAGATAGTGTACCACGACTTACAGCTGCAGGTGAGGGTAGGTAGTTAATCCCAGATAGTGAATAACGACTTACAGCTGCAGGTGAGGGTAGGTAGTTAACCCCAGATAGTGAATCACGACTTACAGCTGCAGGTGAGGGTAGGTAGTTTAACCCAGATAGTGTACCACGACTTACAGCTGCAGGTGAGGGTAGGTAGTTAATCCCAGATAGTGAATAACGACTTACAGCTGCAGGTGAGGGTAGGTAGTTAATCCCAGATAGTGTACCACGACTTACAGCTGCAGGTGAGGGTAGGTAGTTTAACCCAGATAGTGTACCACGACGTACAGCTGCAGGTGAGGGTGGGTAGTTGCTCCCAGATAGTGAATCACGACTTACAGCTGCAGGTGAGGGTAGGTAGTTAATCCCAGATAGTGTACCACGACTTACAGCTGCAGGTGAGGGTAGGTAGTTTAACCCAGATAGTGTACCACGACTTACAGCTGCAGGTGAGGGTAGGTAGTTAATCCCAGATAGTGAATCACGACTTACAGCTGCAGGTGAGGGTAGGTAGTTTAACCCAGATAGTGTACCACGACTTACAACTGCAGGTGAGGGTAGGTAGTTTAACCCAGATAGTGTACCACGACTTACAGCTGCAGGTGAGGGTAGGTAGTTAATCCCAGATAGTGAATAACGACTTACAGCTGCAGGTGAGGGTAGGTAGTTAACCCCAGATAGTGAATCACGACTTACAGCTGCAGGTGAGGGTAGGTAATTAATCCCAGATAGTGTACCACGACTTACAGCTGCAGGTGAGGGTAGGTAGTTAATCCCAGATAGTGTACCACGACTTACAGCTGCAGGTGAGGGTAGGTAGTTTAACCCAGATAGTGTACCACGACGTACAGCTGCAGGTGAGGGTGGGTAGTTGCTCCCAGATAGTGAATCACGACTTACAGCTGCAGGTGAGGGTAGGTAGTTTAACCCAGATAGTGTACCACGACTTACAGCTGCAGGTGAGGGTAGGTAGTTTAACCCAGATAGTGTACCACGACTTACAGCTGCAGGTGAGGGTAGGTAGTTTAACCCAGATAGTGTACCACGACTTACAGCTGCAGGTGAGGGTAGGTAGTTAATCCCAGATAGTGAATAACGACTTACAGCTGCAGGTGAGGGTAGGTAGTTAACCCCAGATAGTGAATCACGACTTACAGCTGCAAGTGAGGGTAGGTAGTTTAACCCAGATAGTGAGTCACGACTTACAACTGCAGGTGAGGGTAGGTAGTTTAACCCAGATAGTGTACCACGACTTACAGCTGCAGGTGAGGTAGGCAGTTAACCCCAGATAGTGAACCACGACTTACAGCTGCAGGAGAGGGTAGGTATTTGATGTATGAAAGAATGTCATTTTTCATGACACACTTACCTTATATCTTGCTATACCGATGTGCTCTCACCACTGCTCAACCGGTGTACACAGCGACGCGCTGCTATATGCAGCGAGATATCAGATGACGACCTGGTTAGTGGGGCTTGCATAATTATAGTTGCTGCGCCCTCTACATGTGTTCACCAACCCAGGAAATGGTTTTAGAGTGAGGGAGTTATATTTGCATTTTTATCCGGAAATGTCATCAACGGACGCCGTTTTCTTCCATCGGTTATCTCAACGAGAAACCTACATATTGTATGATAAATGAAAATGATTGTTCTCGCGAAGTGTTGTCAAATCTTTTGTCACGGTTAGTGAGCGAGTGAGTTGGGTTTAAGGCCGCTTTGAGCAGAAAACCGGTTATATCACAGCGCGTCAGCTTGATTTGGGAGGAAAGTAATGCAGGTCCTAGATATTTATCACTTTGTTGAATGATGCTGACAAACCTTAAACAATAATCGGGGGGAACCGAGATTCGAACACATGATTAAACGATTCCGATGGAATAAATATTCACATTCATTGTGAATAAAAAATATATATCTGGCTTTGCAGGTGTGATAAAGATACCTGACATCTATACACATTCCCAGGCCATCCCAGCATATCAAAATATCGCTCCCTGAATTTCAGTGACGAACTGTTTAAGTGAGTGAGTGAGTTGGGTTTAACACCCATCTGAATAGTACACTTGTTTTTATATCACAGTGTGTCAGATTCATTTAGGAAGAAAGCCCGAAGTGATGCCACTTTGGTTGAACCCACGAGCACAGGCATGGTGCTGACAAATCTGGAAACATAATAGGTCCTAACCGGGATTCGAACACATGATCATACGTTTCTGACGTGTCTAAGGGACGCAACTCTGCACAGCGAATTGCGGCGCCTTAGACGATTGAGCCACCCGGGCCCCCGGGGTGCTTTAGATCCTCCTTATACCGCTCGAGATGGATCTACAGAAGCTCCAGCTCACGTTGGTTTGTTTGCTCGGCTAGACACCCATTCACCATGGGGTCTTCTTGAACTGCACTCCTGCTAGACTAAACACAGCCATTAATAACAAATAGAGGGCACTGCTCCCCGCGGATGTTTCAAGCTTCTGAGTCATCTTCTCCACTGACCAAGCCATGTGACTAAGTTTATTCAGTATTTCTTATTGTTAATTATTTGTGTTATGACTAAATTCTTCATTGCATGAACACACATGGGTACAATGTGCAAAGCCCATTCTGATGTCCCCCACCGGGATATTGCTTGAATATTGCTAAAGGCGGCATAAAACCATACTCACTCACTCACCAATGTGGAAAGCGTCTTGGACCTGGATTCCGTAGAGATTTCTTTTTTTTAAGTAGCGTTCAGTTACTTGCACAAACGACCGACTATTATGGAGTGGTTGAGAAACTAATTTGCCCCTGAACTTGCTAGTTCGGCTCCTTTTTTCAGAAACAACCGAAAATTATGTATGTTTCAAAGCTTTGACTGCAAAATAGTTTCGTCTCAAACAAAAACCTTCACAATGTTCACAATGTTGACAAGGGATATAAGTGTGTCATAGAAAAACACGCGAACGTATATGTATTGAACTGTTCACAATAATGGCAGGGGATATAAGTGTGTCGTAGCACAACACGTTTATGTATTGAACTGTTCACAATGTTGGCAGGGGATATAAGTGTGTCAGAGAACAACACGTATATGTATTGAACTGTTCACAATGTTGGCAGGGGATTAACTGTGTCATAGCACAATAGTATAGGTATTGAACTGTTCACAATGTTTGCTGGGGATATAAGTGTGTCATAGCACAACACGTATATGTATTGAACTGTTCACAATGTTGGCAGGGGATATAAGTGTGTCATAGCACAATAGTATTGGTATTGAACTGTTCCCAATGTTGACAGGGGATATAAGTGTGTCATAGCACAATAGTATAGGTATTGAAGTGTTCACATTGTTGGCTGGGGATATAAGTGTGTCGTAGCACAACACATATATGTATTGAACTGTTCACAATGTTGGCAGGGGATATAAGTGTGTCGTAGAACAACACGTATATGTATTGAACTGTTCACAATGTTGGCAGGGGATATACGTGTGTCGTAGCACAACACGTATATGTATTGAACTGTTCACAATGTTGGCAGGGGATATAAGTGTGTCGTAGCACAACACGTATATGTATTGAACTGTTCACAATGTTGGCAGGGGATATAAATGTGTCGTAGCACGACACGTATCTGTATTGAACTGTTCACAATGTTGGCAGGGGATATAAGTGCGCAACAGCACAACACGTATATGTATTTACCTGTTGACAGTATTGGTCGGGGATATTGCAGTGGTGTGCCACAACCCGTATATGTGTTGAACTGCTCAAAGTTTTGGCAGTGGAACAAGTACGCCGTGTCATAACATGTGTATGTTTTAACACTCTCGCCAGGGGTCATACGAACGCCAACCCGTGCATGTGTTTGTCGGTAAGGGTTATGGGTGTGCCTTGGCACAACACGTGTATCTCTGTTTGTTATTGTTTGTTTGTTTGTTGTTTAACGCTGTACTCAGCAATATTCCAGCTATATGACGGCAGTCTGTAAATAATCGAGTCTGGACCAGACAACCATGGCCAGTGATTGACATCATGAGCATCGATCCATGCGATTGGGACATGATGACATGCATCAACCATTCTACCCCGGATCTTCACGGGCCGTATGTGTTATGGGTGTGCCTTGGCACAACATGTGTTTCTCTGTTAGTTTCTGTGATGTACATCGCTGTCGTGTTATATGCGTGTTCAGATCCCGAGACCATGAGTTGTTAGGAATAAAACTGACAAAACAAACTTCCATAATATGACGAAATCCATTCATACAGTCCATTATGCAATTCCGACTAGAACATAAGCATGCCTTTATTGTAATGATATCCTGCCCATCACAAACACATGGAAAGGCAAGTCGATTGTTAGAAGAAGAAAATACTTTAAAACAAATCACGGAGGAGAGAATGAATGAATGAATGAATGAATGAATGAATGAATGAATGAATATTGTTTTACGCCGCATCAGCAATTTTCCAGCCATTCACGGCGAGAACCATGTAAACTATCAAACATGTATTGAGAAGGAGCAACCATAAAAGTATGATATCGAAGATCATATAAAATATCAGTCATATATCACAGACACATGGAAAAAAACTGACTATTTGGGTTAAAACCTAAATCTTGTCATAAAGATGGATTTCTTTCAAAAATGCAATAATTGTGTGGCTAGGAACTTGAGTAAAAAGTTGTTTCAAAGTAGAAACATTAAAATATGTTGCACGTATTAAATCAGTATCCACACAGTCTAAAAGTATGTGTTTCATTGTAACTTGACATTGACAAGGAATACACAGGGGAGCATCTTCTCCCTTTAAAAGGAAAGCATGAGTAAAATGTGAATGTCCTATACGGCATCGGCTTAAAACAACGTCATCTCTACGACAACCAACACTGATATTGTTATGACATATAAGTGGTTGAATATTGTACAGCTTGTTATTGGTTTGAGTATCCCAATGTGACTGCCAACATTTATTAACATATTGCCTAATAACCGCTTTACAATCAGTATAAGGGAATTTAGTCTTTGTTACTCTTTGGTCAATAGCAGCTTTTGCTGCTGCATCAGCTTTGTTGTTACCTTTTATTCCAACATGGCTTGGAAGCCAACAAAAGGTAATATCATTATCGGCCACTGATAAATTCAGGTTTCGTTCTAAAATTTCAGCCAAATAAGGATGATCAGATTTCCGACCATTTATCGCCTGCAAGCAGGACAAACTATCAGAAATAAATTGTCTGTTCGGCGAGTGCTCAATATACTGCAAAGCTAACAAAATAGCCTTTGCCTCTGCAGTGAAAATGGAACTGTCATTAGTCAGTCTCAGCGAAAACGTACCATCAGGTGTTACTGCAGCAGCAGATACTTTCTCCCCTTCTTTTGAGCCATCTGTGTAAATGCATGTGGAAGAGGGGTATTCATCTCTAACTTCTAGAAAACCTTGTTGATACTGTAATGCATTTGTAGTGGCTTTTTTCAGCCTTGTTAGGTCAAGATTGACCACAGGATGTATAGATTGCCATGGAGGGATATCTGACATTTCCAACCTGGCAATAGATGTAAGATTTAAATTAGCATCCAGAATGTGAGGTTTCATGCGGATGCCCAATGGCGGTATTGTGTTACACTTTTTGGCATACAGACCCACATACAGAGGTTTAAAAACATTGTCAAAGGCTGGATTAGAAGGATTCGATTTGAGTTTAGTGATATATTGAAGAGCAAGTTTAATCCGTCTTAATTTGAGACACGGTTCTTTGGCTACAACATACAGACTTTCGATAGGAGAGGTTCTGAAGGCACCTAAGCACAACCTTAGTCCCTGATGGTGAATACTATCTAGGTCCCGTAAATATGATTGACGGGCTGAACCATAAATAAAACAACCATAGTCCAGCTTAGATCGAACTAACGCCCTGTAGAGATACAGAAGTGTTTCTTTATCCCCACCCTAATGAGCATTTGAGACAACTTTAAGAATATCAAGTGCCTTGAGACATTTGGTCTTAAGATTTTTAATATGGGGAATAAACGACAGTTTGCTGTCAAATGTAATACCTAAAAACTTTGTCTCTTTAACTACTTTGATCGGTGTAGTATTTAAGAACAATTCAGGATCCTTATGTATTTTCCTCTTATTGCAGAAATGGAGACAACATGTCTTGTTCAGTGAAAACTTAAAACCATTCTCCTGAGACCACCTATGAATTTTGTTGAGACACATTTGCAGCTGTCTCTCAATAGTATGCATGTTAGTTCCGCGACAAGACACATTAAAGTCGTCAACAAACAAGGAACCATCAGTGTGTTCATTTAGCACTTTGGCTAGACTGTTGATCTTAATGCTAAACAAGGTGACTGAAAGAAAACTCCCCTGTGGCACACCCATTTCTTGATAAAAATTATCTGACAGAGTTGATCCCACACGAACCTGGAATTGTCTATTGTCAAGGAATTGAGATATAAAAGCAGGCATGCGCCCACGGAATCCCATAGTATAGAGGTCATTCAATATACCATACTTCCAAGT